ACAACCCCTCTTATATCTCTTAGCATATGCTGGCCATTGGGAGCCTAGACCATGCTCACATTGTACGGCTGCTAGGACTGTGCCCAGGGTCATCCCTGCAGCTTGTCACTCAATACTTGCCTCTGGGTTCCCTGCTGGATCATGTGAGACAACACCGAGGGGCTCTGGGGCCACAGCTGCTGCTCAACTGGGGAGTACAAATCGCCAAGGTGAGAGGAGACTGGAACAGTTCTATGATGGAACTGCCTGGCTGGGGGCTGGCAGGGAGGGGACAGGGAGGTTCGGGCTTCTAAGTGGTGCCTTTTAGGGTTTGGGGTGATTCTGGATCTCAAGGGCAATTCCTTCAACCTTGAGAATACTACATACTTCTCCTATAGGGTATGTACTATCTCGAGGAGCATGGTATGGTGCATAGGAACCTAGCTGCCCGAAATGTGCTGCTCAAGTCACCCAGTCAGGTTCAGGTGGCAGATTTTGGAGTGGCTGACCTGCTGCCCCCTGATGATAAACAGCTGCTACACAGTGAGGCCAAGGTATGTGACACAAAGGGCTAGTAAGGAGGGGGGGCTGGAGTGAGCATGGAGGTAGGGAGCAGTCAGTGGTCTCTTTCAGAGGCAAGCAGATGCAGCATGGTAAGTTCAAGGAGAAGAACCTGAAGATGCCAGAAATAAAAGTTCAGACAGCAAAAAAAGAAAAGTGTAGGAAACTTGGGGGTGAGAATTGCTAAGAAAATATGTGGAATAACTGGTGACATCTTTGCCTTTCATCCCTCAGACTCCAATTAAGTGGATGGCCCTCGAGAGTATCCACTTTGGGAAATACACACACCAGAGTGACGTCTGGAGCTACGGTCAGTCCAGCGGAATGCTCTCCATACCACTGCGGGCCCAAATTCCGTAGTTGCCTCTTGAGAACCCTTCTTAGAATCTGCAGATCCTTCAAATCCTTGTGTCAGATTAAGTTCTGCTTTCCCTTCATGTTCATGCCCATTTCTACTATTTTGCCATAAACTAGTCATGTCTTCCTGTACCAGGTGTGACAGTTTGGGAGCTGATGACCTTTGGGGCAGAGCCCTATGCAGGGCTGCGATTGGCTGAAGTACCAGACCTGCTGGAGAAGGGGGAACGGTTGGCACAGCCCCAGATCTGCACCATTGATGTCTACATGGTCATGGTCAAGTGTGAGTTACCTGTGATGCCAGCCGCTTGCTAACTGACTTCCCTCCCTAGTCTCTCCTCTTAATGCCTCTACTTCCTACATTTTACCCCCAGGTTGGATGATTGATGAGAACATTCGCCCGACCTTTAAAGAACTAGCCAATGAGTTCACCAGGATGGCCCGAGACCCACCACGGTATCTGGTCATAAAGGTGAGTGGGGAGTAGGAGGTGTCAAGGAGGTTTAGAGCAAAGGACGCTTGGCTGAAAGCAGGAATTACCTTGACAATCGCCTTTCCCTGTAGAGAGAGAGTGGACCTGGAATTCCCCCTGGAGCAGATCCCCCTGCTCTGACAAACAAGGAACTGGAGGAAGTAGAGCTGGAGCCAGAACTAGACCTAGACCTAGACTTGGAGGCAGAGGAGGATAACCTGGAGACAACACTAGGTTCTGCCCTCAGCCTGCCAGTTGGAACACTTAATCGGCCACGAGGGGTAAGGCGTTTTCCAGGTACCCAAGACTTTCCGCACCCGGAGCACGCTGCACACCTGTGCCCTTGTGAACCCCGCAGGTACCCAGATTAACTTCTCAGGACCCATGATGAGGACTCCCTTTGTCTAAACCTCTTCCTTTTTTCATCTTAGAGCCAGAGCCTTATAAGTCCATCATCTGGATATATGCCTATGAACCAGAGTAATCTTGGTGAAGCTTGCCAGGTAAGGTCTGTCTCTTTAAGAGGCTGCTGATATGCTGAGTAGCAGAATGTTTTAAGATTGATAGGGGTAGTGTGGGAATTTTAGAAAATCTTCTGTTTAATTGGTGTCCTACAAAAGAGAAGGCATTGAACAACCCAGGCTCCTTTCTTCACCTTTATGTCAATGTCAAACTCCATGTATTATTTATTATTTCCCTAGGAGTCTGCAGTTTGTGGGGGTAGTGAGCGTTGCCCCCGTCCAGCCTCTCTGCACCCAGTGCCACGGGGACGCTTAATATCAGAGTCATCAGAGGGCCATGTGACAGGCTCTGAGGCCGAGCTCCAGGAGGTGTCAACGTGCCGGAGCCGGAGCCGGAGCCCACGGCCACGTGGAGACAGTGCCTACCATTCCCAGCGCCACAGCCTGCTTACTCCTGTCACCCCACTCTCCTCACCAGGGTTAGAGGAAGAGGATGTCAACGGTTATGTCATGCCAGATGCACACCTCAAAGGTGCCTGACTCTTCCCACTCTCTATTGCCTATTACTACAAAGGTCTCCACATAGCCAACCTCTCCTCTCATCCCCCAGGTACTCCATCCTCGCGGGAAGGCACTCTTTCTTCTGTGGGTCTCAATTCTGTCCTGGGTACCGAAGAAGACGAAGAAGAGGAAGAGGAGTATGAATACATGAACCGGAGGCGAAGGCACAGTCCACCTCGTCCTCCTAGGCCAAGTTCCCTCGAGGAGCTGGGTTATGAGTACATGGATGTGGGATCAGACCTCAGTGCTTCCCTGGGCAGCACACAGAGTTGCCCGCTCCACCCTGTGCCCATCACGCCTACTGCTGGGACAACTCCAGATGAGGACTATGAATATATGAATAGGCGACGTGTTGGAGGAGGTCCTGGGGGGGATTATGCAGCCATGGGGGCCTGCCCAGCAGCTGAGCAAGGGTATGAAGAGATGAAAGCTTTCCAGGGACCTGGACACCATGCTCCCCATGTTCACTATGCCCGTCTCAAAACACTACGTAGTTTAGAAGCCACTGACTCTGCCTTTGATAATCCAGATTACTGGCATAGCAGGCTATTCCCCAAGGCTAATGCCCAGAGAACATAACCCCTGCTCCCTGAGGTGCTCAGGGAGTATTTGATGGCAGCTAGTGCCTCTAGAGGGTACCCCTCTTCTTCCTAGTCCCTCTCCCTCAAAGGTCTCAGTGCCATTTCCCCCTCAGTCCTAGACAATTCCAGTCAACCTTTGGAGGCTTTAAAACACTCTGACACAAAGTTCTTTTGATATGTAGCCAGCTGTGCACTTTCTTCTCTTTCCCAATTCCTGGAAAGAAGAAGGTTTCTCCTATTTTGTGTGCTTTTCCAAGCCCACTCCTCTGCTTCCTCAGAGGAATGCCCTGGAGATATGAAGGATTACTCCCATATCATGTCCTATATCCATAGGATTACTTCCATATCATGTCCCTTTTAAGACTCTAACCTGATGAGAATATGCTTTGAAGTGTGCCTTTATTTCCCATGAGACATCTGAGGCAGAGAGAGAAAGGGGGCAAAACCTGGCAGGGGAAAATAAAATTTGGGCTATCATTGTAACCCCCTGGAAAGAACAGGAAACTTAAAATCTTGTGGAATGAAGAGGTTAGGAGTAGATACTAATGACTATTGAGCATTTACTTTTACACCAGGCATTGTGCTAAACTACCTACATCGTCTCAAGCCTTAGCCAATTCTGTGACCTAAGTCTTGTCCCATTTTACAAACAAGGAACTGAGCTTTAAAGAGATGGACAGGTCCAGGATTCAAACAAGTCAGAGCCCTTACAAGGGCACTTGTGTTTGCACTGAATTAAGTCTAATCCCAACAACCAGTCTCCTACACCCAGACACTCCTCTCAGGAAGGGGGTGGTCAGAAGGAAAAATTAACCAGACATCTTTGTGTAAACCATATCCTACATGTGTTGTAAATGATCTCCACTTCTTACCCAAGGGACAGTCACAAGGGACCCTAAAAGAGCCACTTTCAGGAACTTTAATCACCAAATAATGGGAAGCTTCTGGTTGGAATAGAAAGGACCCTCTTCAGGTCTCTGTCCCATTGGATAGGAAACGGGTTATCTCACTGAAGTGTTGTGTTTTGTTTTTATACGTGTCTGAATAAAAATGACAGTTTTTCAGCTTTCTGGCAAATGAAAACCTTTAGTAATGTAGACCACACTTTTACTCCTTGGCAGAGCACAGTTATCGTTTTCTCCCTGCTGTCTGTTTTCTGACAGTCCTAATCTGTCCCATGCAGCTTTCTCCAGTCCTACTTTTCTGTGTATCCCCTTAAGAGAAGCATAAGCGCACAGTCCTTTTCATTTAAAGGTTTTATTAGGAATCTCCACATGGCAACCAACTGAGAATAAAAAGTTTGGGGAAGTTAGAGAAAGTCTTACAGATGTGCTCCCTCAAGAGGTGAAATACTGAAACTCCCATATGTTTCAGAACTTACTAGCAGTCTCCGTGAACACTTCGTTTGGGTGCCATCAAAGACTCTTGTTGGAACAATAGTGCCATCTTCAGTGGAGAGTCCGTCCTCTAGACTGGGAACCTGTAAATGGATAATCGCAGTCCGCCGGCCCATCCCTACCCCTGGGTATTCTTAAGCACCCGTTCTGTACCTCCCGGTCTTCCCAGTATGGGAGGACGACTGCGCCGGCAGGGCCGGTCCCACCAGCCGCTCCAGGTATCCAGGGAAGGGCGCGCCCAGCCTCCCCGCCCTTAGGGTAGTCACCCCTCAACCGCCTCGGCTCCACCCCGCCCCTCCACCACCAAACCCATTTCCCGCAGTAGCTCTGCCCCTTCTCTCATTAAAGTAGCTCAGCCCGCCCCCCTCCATTAAAGTTTACAGCTCAAGTCTCTTGCTGGATTCGGATTTTCCGGCAGAGACCACGCTTCTTAAACTCCCTACCGACTCCGCCTTCCCGCTGAAGCCCGACCCTTCCCAGCGTGCCCGGCGATTCCAGCGTGCGAGGCCCTCGGAGGGCAAGGCCCCAGGGCCTGGCATAGAGGCGCGAAAGGCAGGCTGGGAGTTATAGTTCACGATTCCCCGAGAACGGCTAGAGGTTGGCTGTGGAAAGGACTCGTTGTCCCAGCGTGCCCTGCGTCTCAGCCCGCGCGCTCGCAGCTTCTCGCTCTCGGCCGCCCGATCCCTTGCTTGCTCGCGCTTTTGCTCGCGCTCTTCTCGCAAATCGAAGAGGCTCTGGTCACAGCCTGTGGGTAGGAAGGGAGACCGAGGCGGCGGCTCAGGGGAACGAGGCTGCAGTGGTAGTGGCGGCGGGAAGATGTCGGGCGAGGACGAGCAGCAGGAGCAAACTATCGCTGAGGACCTGGTCGTGACCAAGTATAAGATGGGGGGCGACATCGCCAACCGTGAGTGCGGCCTCAGGGGTCCGGGTTCTGGGCTGAGAGAGAGAGGCAAGGGGGACGGCGCTGGGCTTGGCCCCGGAGGGGCTGAGCTGTGGGGTCAGGTGGGAGTGAGCTACTGAGGGCCCCGCGCCGGTGCGCTGCGGGTGGTGTGGTGGGAAGACTCCGTGTCGTGTCTGGGACCTGAGCGTCCAGGCCTGGGTTGTTGTCTGAAGGTGCGGGCGGACGACGAGGAAGAGCTCAGAATAGGGTACCTGGCTGGCGCGGACCCTAGGCCGTTGCTAAGGAGGCAGGGCGCATCTCCTGCTCACACTTTTGTGCGGATCCCTGCCTCCTCTTGATTTTGGCAGCGGCGAGGTCACCTCGGAAAGGAAGCACCCAGCTGTTGGCAACGGAAGAGCCCCTCTATTTTGTCGCGGTTCCCCCGGCGTCAGGAGCGAAGCCGGCACGTGTCGCCGGCTCCCTGTGCAGAATGCCAGCTGCCTTCCTCCTACCGTCCCTGACACCAGCCTCCCTACCACGTGCTTTGCTTAAGTCTTTCGTTCTTTACCTCAACTCTTTCCCTTGTGGGGACCCCTTCTATTCGTGGGCCAGCTCAGGGACCGTTGGAGTGTACTCCTGGAGTTCCTCACACCCTCTTAAAGATATATCTGGCTTTTCTTGAAGTTATTCATTACTATCTTCAATCTGTGCACATAGCCTTAATTAGCCTTCAGCTTTATTCTCAGGCGCTTGGCAACTCTAGGAGTGTTTTTGAGGTCCTCACCCCAACTAGGCACACTTGTGAATAATCCTAGAGGGGGGGCGCTGAATTTGGGATCTCAGAAGTCATCCTTATTAGGACTGACTTTCTCAGCAGCTGCCTGCCACTGTAGGCAGATGTCTCACTTTCTCTTTTCTCTATTTCCAGTTCACCTTTCCAATATCAAACCCAGTCCAGGGGACAGAAAGTGCTTTTCTTTGGGCTTTTAAGTGGCTTTGACAGTAAAGCTAGGTTTTAGGGTGTCTCTGGTCCTACATCTGAAAAACCTGAGTTTCAGACTCCAAAGCATTACAAAAACGTATATCAAAAGATCAAACCTGAAGTTCAGGATGGGCCATGGAGATGCTTTATCACATAATGGACATTTAGTATAGTATTTTTGGTATGTTTTTGTACATTACATTAGTGATTTGAATTAAAAAAAATTTTTTTTCCCTCTTGCAATTTATAACTTCTTGGGCATTTGCGATTGCAAGAGCTACAAGTTTGAAACTCTTTTGGGTCACATACCTCTGCAACCTGCCAAAAGCTGTAAGTCATGAACCTGCTGAAGCCCAGGGACCGTCCATTAAGTCCCTTTGGCTTATATACTTGTTCGTGCGGAAATAAGTCCACATAAATTGAATTACTAACATCTAATTGGGGTGTCTGAGAAGGGAGAAGGTAGCATTTCACAGTGCATCAGCTTTGAGTCAGCAATTCTGTGCCTACTTTCCTGTTGTTCCGGACACCTATAAATTTTTTCTAGTTTCCTTTGCATGTATGTGAGATACCTTGGTGAGGTTCCCCTTGAAGTTCATAGTTGTCCTACCACACTACAAGTATCATCTTTGGAAAGTCTTCCTTGCCTAGGGAAACAGAGTGTATAAACCCAGTGGTCTCATAAAGAAGGGATGGCATTGTTGACTTCTTTATTTTAGAAGAGGAAGGTAGAAATTTAGGTGGGTATAATCCAAAGGGTAAAGTGTGTTCCCTTTTCAGCGTTAGAGTAATGTCACTAGGGAGTATTAGAAACTCTGGATCCAGCTTCTAGGTATTGCTTGGACTGTAATTTAGACAACACATGTGGGACTGATATGGTGGGATTCTGTCCCCAGGGGTACTTCGGTCTTTGGTGGAAGCATCCTGCTCAGGTGTGTCGGTACTCAGCCTGTGTGAGAAAGGTGATGCCATGATTATGGAAGAGACAGGGAAAATTTTCAAGAAAGAAAAAGAAATGAAGAAAGGTAATAAAATCCCCCACTAATTTCCCAGGTTTGACCATTATTCAGTCCTGTCGGTCATAATGATGTAACTCTCACCCCACCTCTGGTTGAGATACTTGGAATAGCAAGTGGGTTACCAGGCAGTTTCCTACCCAGTGTACACCGATTAAACTTAGGCAAGACCCTGAAGATGATCTTCCATTTTCTCAAGGGGCAACAAGCCTCTAAGAGAGCAAGGCAGTAAGGTCGATGATTCTTTCTTTACAGGTATTGCCTTTCCCACCAGCATTTCAGTAAATAACTGTGTATGTCACTTCTCCCCTTTGAAGAGCGACCAGGACTATATTCTCAAGGGAGGTGACTTGGTAAAAATGTAAGTTTAGATCATGTTAGAGCACTTGTCTTTTTCCTAAGCATTTACATAGTCCCAGTTGTTAATGCTGTATACTCTGCTCTTAACTTTTCAGTGACCTTGGGGTCCACGTGGATGGCTTCATTGCTAATGTGGCTCACACTTTTGTGGTTGATGTAGCTCAGGTATGTGGTCTGCTTTGAATTCTGTACAGCCTATGGGGAATAGGAGAGGGTGTACTACTGCTTGTTTCTTATCTCCACCCTCTACCAACATGTAAAGTTTCAAGAATCAATAGAGAAATAAAAGGTAAAAGGTGTGTTTTCTCTCCTCATTGGCTGGCCTTGCATAATGGGCACACAGATGTTAACTGAATAACCAGCTGAGACCTTTCCACGAAGACACTGATTATGCTTCCTTGTCTACAGGGGACCCAAGTAACAGGGAGGAAAGCAGATGTCATTAAGGCAGCTCACCTTTGTGCTGAAGCTGCCCTACGTCTGGTCAAACCTGGAAACCAGGTAAGCTGTTTAGTCCAACACTAAAGCCTGACAGAGCCAAAGGTGCACTAGACTTCTGCAACTATTCTATATTAACTTCCAACTTTTCTCACAGCCTCTTATAAAACAAATAGCATTTTATTTTTATTTATTTTTTAAAAGATTGTGTTTATTATTTTTAGAGAGAAGGGAAGGAATGGAGAAAGAGGAGAGAAACATCAATTTGAAAGAAAAACATAGATTGGTTGCCTCTTGCTCACCCCGAGCTGGGGACCTGGCCCACAAACCTTCGGTTCACAGGCTGGCACTCAATCCACGGAGCCACATAAGCCAGAGCTAAAACAAATAGCATTTTAAAATTAGCTCTCTGCCCTGGCTGGTGTGGCTCCATGGACTGAGTGCCAGCCTGTGAATCAAAGGGTCGCTGGTTTGATTACCAGTTTAGGGCACATGCCTGGGTTGTGGGCTGGGTCCCCAGTGGGGGGTACACAAGAGGCAACCACACATTGATCTCTCTCTCTCTCTCTCTCTCCCCCCGCTTCCCCTCTCTAAAAATAAAAAAATTAAAAAAATAAAATAAAATTAGCTATCTCATAGGATGGGAATTCTGTAATAGAAGACATGGGAACTAAAGAGCTTAATAATAAACAACAGCCCCTGAGTGCCTACCATAGACAGCTCCATGCTTGCTATATAAGGATATATGGAGCCTACAGAGATCCTTCCTTCCTTGTTTTAGATGTGTATCTTTCCCTGAAAATAATTCAAGGTAGATAGCTTATACTAAAGTACAACTAAAGTAAAACTAAAGTAGAACAGTTTTAAAAGGTTATAAAACAATAATAGTGCTGGTAAACTGGTGACAAAGGGAGGCCAAAAGTTAGTTCTGTGCCTTGCAAGACAATATTGGGAAGCCCGGGGATCATAGGCCTGTCATGAATTAATGCAATTTACTATGTTAGACTGAGTAGAGATAGTTTTCTTTTCTTTTCTTTTTAATTTCTATTTATTGATTTTAGAGGAAGAAACATAATTTTTTTTTCCCCCCTGTTCCACTTATTTATGCATTCACTGGTTGATTCTTGTATGTGTCCTGACTGGGGATAGAACCCACAACCTTGATGAATCAGGATAACACTAACCAACTGAGCTACCCCTCCATGGGAGACACTTTTCTAACATTTAAGTTTCCAGAGACCTGTTTGATACCTAAAGTACTTTTGTCTTTTGTCTCTCTCCCTTGTGCTCCCTTATTCTTCATTCTTTTAATCAATTTGTAATTCATCCCCATTGTTACTTAATTGCATACTTTTCACTTAAACCTCTTCGTTTTCTTATAATGATACCTACTTCATAGAGCTGTTATGAAGCATTTTGAACAGTCCCTGGCACATAGTAAATACTTGTGTTAACTATTATTATTTTACACATTTATTATTTTTATTTATATATTAAAATATTGTGTACTTTCACTGGAAGGTAGTTTTGTCTAGCTGTAACATCAGACTTTCTGGGTTCTTGCCCTATTGCCACTTCTTACTAATTAAAAATCAGTTCTAATTCAGATTTCCTCATCTGTAAAATAGGAAAAGTAAAATTGTGATCACAACAGGGTTGTTGTGATGATTGAGATGATCCATGTAAAGTGATTATGACAGTACTTAGCACATAGTTTAATATTAGCTGGGATTAGTTATTCACTTTTCTTTTTGTCGAAGAACTGTAGCTTAGGTGAGGATCAGATCATGTTTGAAAGAGGTAAGAGGAGAATAAGAGTTTGCTGTTCCTTCTCAACAGGTTAGAATGTCATGTATAATGGAATCATTATACAACTTCTCATCATAAAACCTGGGTTCCTGGGTTTATACCAGGTTTTCTGTTGTTGGTTTTCGTTTTGGTTTTTTGGGGGTTTGTTTGTTTTTTTCTTCTTATTGATTGATCTGACAGAGAAAGAGACAGTTTGTTGTTCCACTTAGTTATGCATTCATTGGTTGATTCTTATATGTGCCCTGACTGGGGATTGAACCCGCAACCTTGATGTATCAGGATGACGCTCTAACCAACTGAGCTACCCGACCAGGATTGTACCAGGTTCTTTCTGTTCACTGGTTTAATCCTGAACAAATCATTTAAGCTTTCTGAGCCTCAGTTTCCTCATCTTCTAGATTGGGACATAGATCTGCCCTATTCACCTTCCAGAATTGCTGTCTAACTAGACCATCTTTGTGAAAGCCCTTTCTAAAAGGATATGCAAGTGTAAGGTATGTTTAGGTTGTAGGGATTGCTAGGGATATGACATGAAACAACAATGAGAGTCCTTGTACCAGATGGAGGATATTACAACTCTCAGTTCTTTTATGCTTCTTATTTACATGGTAGAGAATTTATTAGGTAGAGAAGCCCCTGATATCTCACATTTTATTTCGTCTTGTACTTCCAGAACACACAAGTGACGGAAGCCTGGAACAAAGTTGCCCACTCATTTAATTGCACACCAATAGAAGGTGAGACCTCAGATAACAGGGCTGAGGGTCTGAGTACCCATTGATTTAGCAGAATTAAGACTTTTTCCTCCCTTGAGGATCCATCCTATCTCTAGCACAGTCTTAAGCCAAAAACCTCAGTGCCCTTGGTTTCCATAACCAGTCACCTTTCTCTTACTGCCTGCCCCATCAAACTGCTTATGTGGGTGGATTTGGAAATCTTTTGGGATTCTAGATAGTTGGTACCATAGGCTTTGTCCTCTCTGCAGGGATGCTGTCACACCAGTTGAAGCAGCATGTCATCGATGGAGAGAAAACCATTATCCAGAACCCCACAGACCAGCAGAAGTAGGTGCCGATCCCATCCCTCACCCTCCACCATACCAGACTACTGATGGATTTTTTCCTTCCATACTTCCAGCCTGATTTTGTCTACTTTCTACTCCGAACTCCAGGAACTACTTAGCTGCTCTTATGGTTTGCTTTTAATTCCTTTTAGGAAGGACCACGAAAAAGCTGAATTTGAGGTACATGAAGTATATGCAGTGGATGTTCTTGTCAGCTCGGGAGAGGGCAAGGTGAGGAGTGTTTATCAGAGCCAGCACAGAGGGATGACTGAGGGTGTGTTCCAAGAGCACCGGGACAAATGGGACCTAACTTACTCTTTTAGGCCAAGGATGCAGGACAGAGAACCACCATTTATAAACGAGATCCTTCTAAACAATATGGCCTGAAAATGAAAACTTCTCGTGCCTTCTTCAGTGAGGTTGAAAGACGTTTTGATGCCATGCCATTTACTTTAAGGTATACTGCACTTAACAGGGACAGGACCTGGAGCTAGTGTGACTCATAGACCACACACCCAGGAACACTATTCCTTCCTCCACCCCTCCCTCTTTCTCCCTCCCCTCCTGCCTAGACTTGTAGTTCCAACCTGCATGCAAGGGTTCCCTTATGCACCCCATCTCCCTCATTGAGGGGAATGTAAAAGAGCATTTCCTAACCAGGATTTTTGCCCGAGGATAGGAGCTATTTAAAAACATGAGCAAAATGGTAAGACTTGATAGGGAGTTAAGGATACCTGAACTTGTCTTCTACCAGAGCATTTGAAGATGAGAAGAAGGCCCGGATGGGTGTGGTGGAGTGCGCCAAACATGAATTGCTGCAACCATTTAATGTTCTCTATGAGAAGGAGGGTGAGTTCTAAAACAAGAGTTTCACTTTGGAACTGGTTATATGGTTCCTTCCTTCCTCCCTATGTGTTATAGAAAAAGTATAACAAGGGAACATTTCATCAAAACACTTTTCTCTTCCACAGGTGAATTTGTTGCCCAGTTTAAATTTACAGTTCTGCTCATGCCCAATGGTCCCATGCGGATAACCAGTGGTCCCTTTGATCCTGACCTTTACAAGTCTGAGATGGAGGTCCAGGATGCAGAACTAAAGGTTAGTGTGGGCTGGAAAGTGGTAAGCACGTGGAACCTTTCGGGGAAGTGAGCACTAAATGCCAGCGAAGTCCTGAAAAAGAGCTACAATTTTGAAGTAAGACTGTTTCCTCCAAATTCCTCAAAATTTGTTTTCTTCCTTCCTATTTTCCAGGCCCTCCTCCAGAGTTCTGCAAGTCGGAAAACCCAGAAAAAGAAAAAAAAGAAGGTGTGTCATTGTCCCTCTTTGGCAGGTTGAGCCCGATCTCTCTTCCATTTTCCTGGGTTGTGGTGGTATAGATTTTTGTATATCCTTATACGCCCCCGCCCCTCCTCCCAGCCCTGACCTAGAGAATGGGGGTATTTTTGTCCTTGGTACCCCAAACACTACCCCAAGGAAACTTGACATGTCTTCTCCCTCTTTTTTTCCATGAATATAGGCCTCCAAGACTGCAGAGAATGCCACCAGTGGGGAAACATTAGAAGATAATGAAGCTGGGGACTGAGGTGGGTCCCATCTCCCCAGCTTGCCGTTCCTGCCTCATCCCCTTTCCACCACACCCCAGGCTCTGAAGTGCAGTTTGTCTTCACCCAGGACCTCCAGCAGAGCGGGGTGTCTCCCTGCCCCCATCCCAGTCCCCCAGCCCAACCCCCTTCCAACAACAACCAGCTCCAACTGACTGGTCTTGGGAGGCCAGGCTTCCCAGCCACTGAAGACTACTTTAACTAGACAAGAGAAATTGAATAATAAAATCAGGAGTCAAAATCCATCGTCTTCAAGCCCCTCTTTCTAGCCTTTTTCTACCACTCACTGCTTGGTCAAGGTTTATGGCCCTACAACAAGGAGGAGGCTAAAGGAGCCACCACTGCTAAAAATTCAGCTGAAATTTTTTTATACACTCTGGTGTCAGCAATTTCCCATCTGTTGGGGCTTGTTCCTCTCTTTTCCCACTCTTCCCAAGTATTTTATCTGGCCTCAAGGTAGAGAGGAACTGTTGTTCAGATTGTTTTTATTCACATGTGGTAGATTCCTTTTCTGATCCAGGCTGGTGGTCAGGCCCCCCTCCCTTTCTTAGGAGCTGGAGCCTGCACTTAAGGGATTCTCATCTACGAAATGATCCTCATTTGTATATCTTTTTAGTCATTTTTGTTTGCAGGACTCTTTTTACAGCTCTTCCCCCTTCTCCCAAAGCTGTAAAGGAGAAACTCATTTCAACTAGTCCATTATTTGGAGTCAGTGGGGTCTTCCCTTGCTCCATCTTACAATCCTGAGTTGGAAGCTCAACTGTGGTTTTGTTCTTTTTTGAAATACGTTGATCTCCCTCCCTTGAAAGAAAGACCAGGAACCAGAGGAGCAGACTGACTGAAGAGACAACTCCTGGCTTTCCAAAGCTGTGGACTTGAATTGGGTGAATTGCTAGGGGTTTGGAGAGAAAGGTGTCAAATTTCATTCAGTACCTCTGGCATGCTGTCCCAGGGAACCAGGGCTCCTGCTAACTTATGAGGTTTTTAAACATTGAAAATGACATGGTGTTAAAATAAATTTGGATTTGCTCATAATCACATGCCTTTGCTCCTCTTATTTGATCGTGGGTGTTAGTCGAAGTGGTGGTCATTTGGAGCTGTTTTTCCATGTGGTCGTACTCTACTCTCTAAAATAAGGAATACTTTCCCAGCCCAAAGGGAAATCCTGGATTCTCTGAATTAAGATAGTAAATTTTCTATGGGTGTTTGATTTAATTTTCTAAAGTGAAAACAACCTTGCTGCTGACATTTTGTTCAGGACTAACAAATTTAATGTGTACTGCAAAATAAACAAGGTCTGTCCAGAAGGTATCCAGCCATGTAATACAAAAAGAGACATTTATTGGATACAAGAAACATTGTCTATAGGACAGTGACACCTCAGTCCCCTTCAAAGTAGGCACCTTGGGACCTCACACAATTCTCCCAGTTATCATCAACTGCCCTGTCATATTTTCCTGAATCTCCACAGTCAAATCTTCCCTTTCAAATGTGATTTTAGCCTTGGGAAAAGCCGCAAGTTGCAGGGCGCCAAATCTGGGCTGTGGGGGCAGGGGGGGCATTGAGTCACCTGGGTGATTTGATGTTTCACCAAGATAACCCTGTACCACAGGTGATGTATGAGCAGGTGTGTTGTACTTAGGAAGCTGCTAATCACCAGTTGCCCATAGCTGCAGCCTTCTGAATCACCTGAATAGCTTCAGTAGAGGAATGTTCAAGCTTAACACAAAATTTAATGCAGGTTCATTGCTCTACTTACTCAGTTCTTTTGAATGTGAGGGCCACACAGTGCACATGCTCACTCAAAGATACCGACCATCCCCACTGACTAGTACAATGAAGTTGTCTTTGTTCACACATGTCCATTCCAGTCCACTCTCCTTGGCTGCTAGTTTGTATTGATGTCTTGCAAACCACTCTCATTAACAATAGCTAGACTTTTTCTGGACAGACCTCATAAAACTCTGCAAGTGTTTATCTTGATTTAGGAAGCCAGGAAGTATGCCTTTAGTGTTATGAAGTTTTTCTGGGCCAGCCTAAAATGATTTATTAGATTTGAGTATCTTACATGTGAGGCATGCTGACCTGGAGATACCACAGTGAACAAAATAGCTCTTCATAAGAGCTTAGAGACTGGGCAATTAACAGGTAAAATCCTGGTGCACTTGATAATGAAATAATTCTGCTATGGCCTTTCCTTTTGTTTTCAAAAACTATTATGATGATGAAAATACTAGCATTACTCAGTCCCAAGTTTTTAAAACCTTGTTTTAATAGAGTTAAAAGGATGATATGTTATTGCAATAGTTACAAAGGGAAACCACCAAAAAAAGGAGGGATTATAATGAAAAAACCTTGCAGTATCAAAGTGAATAAGGTAAAGTCGTTAAGGATTCTTTTCCATTTTTCATAACTAACTGTAGCCAAATCTTTACCCATCTGCTTATCAGGTGCGTTTGACCCGTCCTACCCTGATACTGGGAAGTTCTTTATCTTCATACCAAATACCATTCTTGGCTCTAGATAAGACAGCCAGCCATCTCCCCCTCTCTATTGGCAGGGAGAATCCTTGAATTACTTTCTGAACAAGATGCATTGTGACAAGGAATCTAACTATATTCTGCCTCAGGGGCAATGTGGGGTAAGGTCACAGTTGGTTAGAAAAGTTTATCTATAATAATGACAAGTTTCTTTTGGTAGTATGACAGCTTTCTTGACAACCCAACTTTATACCCTCCCATGTTCTGGAACCTTAGGACCTCTGGAGGTTCTGAAATAGAGTCTCCCTGCAGCAATTGAGTTTAAAAAATAAGGCAAACCAGTAAACAAATTAGGAATTTTTGTACAGTACACGCCTATTCATAATAAAATGGTGGGTGTCACCCGGAAACTGCAACTCCCATGAAGCAATGAGAGGGAAGGCGGAAGTCGCTATTTTTTTGCTCGCCTACTCCTCCAGATGTCATATTGGAAATAGGTGCTTACGTTTAAATAACAAAACTGGGGATGGGGAATTTTTAACTCAAATTCAAAATACTCTGTTTTCCAAGAAAAATAAGTCAGTTCTGGTATCTGAGAGACCGGAAGCCATTGTTACTCCCCTGGAGGCAGGGCCAAGCTGCGGAAATGACGACAATGAGCGCTCCCTTAAATACCCGCAGGGGGGCACTTGGCGCTCTCTCGGCCTTAGCGCCATCTTCTTAGGTAGGTGATGTTTCTGGCCTGTGTATGGAGTCCGTATACAATCCATTAACATCCAGTGTCTACACTTACCATCATGACAGCAAACTAACTGTAGTCTTTTTCTCTTTACCCGTAGAAACCTCTGCGCCATGAGAGCCAAGGTAAGCAGTCTCTGACCGTAAGCTGAGGCTGTAAGAGTTGAGGATTGGGGGAGGAGACCCAGGCAAGGGAAGTCCGCCATGGTTTCCGTACCGCTGGGTTCTCAGTGTTGTACAGAAGCTAGTAGGGGAAGGATAACGTGGGGAGAAGCGGAAAAGGCGGTTGGGTAAGTGCGGAGAGAAGAGCGCACGCGGATTTCGGGGATTACTTAGGGTGTGGGGGATAGGTGGTTTAATTTATTGATGGCGATCACAGTGACTAAGCCCTCGTATTTGGTCAAGAACCTGCCTGGCTCTAAATGCTGTTCTCCACACCCCTATCTAAACCTGTCACTAAAACCAATGACTTTTTTTATTTCTTGCTTCTGGGTATGATCGGTTGCCAGTGGAGGAAGAAGCGAATGCGCAGGTACGTGAAGACTGCCGGCACCGCGGAAAGTAGCATATGCCTTGGACAAAACTTGGGAGGAACATTTGGTTTAGAAATTTAAAAGAACTTAAGGTTTAAAATGCTTTGAGCATTGACTTGTCAGAGCCAGAATGTATCGCTTGATCATTTCACCACTTTGTGCATTGTGTGCACATTAAGATGTGGGAAAAAGACTATGCGGGCTTGGAGGCAGGGGGTGTGGTATATTCTTGTGTCTGCTTTTCAGGCTGAAGCGCAAAAGAAGAAAGATGAGGCAGAGGTCCAAGTAAACCGCCAGCTTGAGCACCCGTGGAAGCCACAGGAGCAGAAATGAGGGAAGCCACAGGCCAGGGACACTGGTACAAATTGTTCGACTGCATGCCTGCTTTGACGACAGCTCGATGGATGTAGAACATACATTGCCATCTGATCGCCGTGACCACCCTTGGAGAGACCCACGCAGCTCTTAAAACGACAGTCCCTTTTGGTCCTTTGCCCTGGACCTGTGACATTCTGGACTGGTTCTGTTCTCATTTGTGGCTGAATGTGTACAATAAATCATCTCTTCTTACCTGAAGAAAACAATGTCTGTTATGTGGTTTTTATGGTTCCATTGGCTGGGGATTCTGTTAAGTACAGTGGGCCCTGATGCTACGCAGTGCTGCTGTAGAGAATGTCAAGCTATAAAGCATACTGCAGGGATGTGGACCCTGCCCCTGCCCAACATCTGGTCCCCGGCCCTCAGAGTAGTGGAATCTTGGGGGCAGGTACCCAGGTGCCTCGCCCGGCAAGTAGGGCAAACGGTTCTGCCCTTACTCCCTTGTGTCCAGGGCTACATTAAGTCAAGCTCTGTGGACGTTTTGCTGTGTTATGTCTGGTTGTCATGGTGACACGCAGAGCTTGCTGGGAACTTCCTGCGTGTAATCACGCAAGTAGTTAAACACCATAGAGTATAGTTCCGGGTCTGGTGACTAGAGCGTCATTTCTTCCGCAGGAAGCGGAAGGGCCATAGGGTAGGCGGCTCTTTGTCGAAGCTAGAGGACCGGCAGGCGGCAGCAGCAACTACGGCGGCGGCGGCAGGTGAGGGAGGCGGGAGACTCAGGTGGAGGCCGCGCCCGGAGGGGAGGAGTCGGGCCGGCCCAGCGGCTGAGCTCGGCTGGGCTACACAAGGCCCCCCAGGACTCAGCTGGCTCTTCTTGGTGCCCCACGGCCGAGCCCCATTTCTAACTGACCTCGCTTCGCGAGCAAACGCCAGCTCCGTGACGTCATAGCCCTGCTCATCCCCGCAGCTTGATGTCACCTGGAGTCCCTCTCCCCGCTTTACTTCTTGCTCCCTTAGTGTCCTGTTCACCTGGCCCACGCCTGAGCTTTTGGTAGCACTGCACAGAACCTGCCAAGCTACAAGATTTGCTGCGGGAAACTCCTAGGACTTTTTTTCGCAAACTCTGGGGTGTTGCGAAGCGTCAAAATCACCGACCCAAAGTCTAGTCTGCCATTCGACTGCACTGTCAGTCGCTGCCTTTGCACTGCTCCCCATTTGGAGTTCCTAACCCTAACCCTAGGCCGGTCTGTGATACCCACATTCTCCTTCATCTTGAGGCAGGGCTCCCCACACCCTTTGTTCACTCCACTGGTTATCCAACCCATCCTGGTAGGCTCTCTCAGTTGGTTCTGTTTTTTATTTTTCTTACTTACAACTTATCCCTTTGACAGGTGAAGTTTAGTTGAAACCTTGAGGAAATCTTGATGTGCCCAGAGCTCTTGCCGTTTAGTCATATCTTTTTCGTGTTAATAGTCCTCCATTCTTACTCTTTCTCCCACCCAAGTATCTGTTTTTCTCCTGTTCAGAACCCAGCAGTGATGTGGAGGTGGAGACCAACAGGAGCCCCGGACTTCACCTGAGCTACCTCAGGTATCGAACAATCCTGGGAGAGTTGGGTGGGGAGGAATACCATATCAGATTATCTGCATCTGGTGGGACTTGCAAGGTGGGTCAGGCTTGGATAAGTGGCATTTATTTTTCACCAGCTCACTTCCCTTTTAGTAAAAGTTTGTATGTTCTTTTATCACTCTTTTTCTTGATTGTTTCTATTATTATGGAACTACTTCCCTTTGGAGGAAGAGGACTCTTCTTTTTTAAAGATTCTCATGTAACTCTGGCCTCTGGTCAGTTCATTTCAGGGAGACCTGAAGGCAAAGTCTATGCAACGGAGTGGGTGTTTAGAGGAGACCAAGGCCTGAGAAATTGGAAAGTTTCCCTTATACTCAAGGGGAAACGCGATGAAGTTTTCCTATTTGAACAGCAGGGGGAGCCTGAACACTGCCTAGGAAAGGTTTACCAGGTCAGACACGTGTTAGCTGGGACTCCGGTCTTGTAGGGGGTGGGGTGAGGGCGGGCTAGAACCAGAGCAGTTGACTGACATTCCAGAGCTCTCTTGGGAAAGATGAGACTTAAAAAGCTTTTATAGAGTCTATAAATAAAGAGGATCTTTATGGGTGAGGAATGGTGTGGTTTGATGTCAGTGGTATCTTTTCATGGAGTGTTAGGAGGGGATAGAATGGGCAAAGTAAGGTCATTTGTTCCCGTGAAATTAACTCCTTCCTCCCGCCTTGACCATGGAACACTTGGTTTTGTCCCTTAGGAGTCTGTAAGTGGAGATTCCAGCTATAGAACTCTTCTGAACTGGAGAGGAAGGGGCTGACCACACTGGGGTTGATAGTGGTATTGAACTGGGAGGAAATAGTAAAAAAATGACAGTTGTAGGGACTGCCCTTAAGCTAATGACACAAGTCTCTTCACTCTGGGTTTCCTGGGGTCTAGCGATAGGATACTTCACAGTATCCCATTATCTACAGCCCTAGTAGCTTAACCAGACCATCTTGGCCAACGTTTCCAGTCTCCTAGCCTATTCAGTCACTGCCAATTTTAATTTCTCTTTCACAGCTTTAATAAGGTCAGTTCAGGAAGGAAAGTAAAATGCAGTACTATTGTATCCCTGCCCCCTCCTTGGCTTGCATTCATTAGTGAGATGAGATGGCCTCACCCCAGCTCCCTCCCTTCTCCATTAGCCAGGCAAGTGTGAATCATTCTGACCCAGACCAGGTGCACAAGGGCCTGGGCGGGACTTCTGACAAGCCAGCCAGTCTGGGCAGAATTCTCATCCCTTAGGTTCTGCATCTCCAAAGCCATTACCCCGCTGGCCTGCCTCTTGCTGGACTGCCTATCCTAAAGTTGGGAAGAGTGTGGCCTCTGGAGGACTCTTGTTTGACACAGTTCTCCTCTCTCCTAGTGGTCACCAAGGGTGGCAAGAAAAGGAAGAAAGCCCTGAGTTGGGTGGGACCAGGATGCCTGACCGGGACAGCTATGCCAACGGCACTGGGAGCAGCGGTGGAGGCCCTGGAAGCGGTGGCAGCGAGGAGGCCAGTGGGACAGGGGCAGGCAGTGGCGGGGCCAGCTCAGATGCCATCTGTAGAGACTTCCTGAGGAATGTGTGCAAGCGAGGCAAGCGTTGCCGATACCGCCATCCAGACATGAGTGAGGTGTCCAACTTGGGGGTGAGCAAAAATGAGTTCATCTTCTGCCATGACTTCCAGAACAAGGAGTGTAGTCGCCCAAACTGCCGATTCATCCATGGCTCCAAGGAGGATGAGGATGGCTATAAGAAGACAGGAGAGCTTCCCCCTAGGCTGAGGCAGAAAGTTGCAGCAGGCCTGGGCCTTTCTCCGGCTGACCTACCAAATGGCAAGGAGGAGGTCCCTATCTGCCGGGACTTTCTCAAAGGTGACTGCCAGAGAGGAGCAAAGTGCAAGTTCCGTCACCTACAGCGGGATTTTGAATTTGATACTCGGGGTGGAGGAGGCACTGGTGGTGGGGGCTCCACAGGCCCAGTCCCCCCAGGACGACGTCATGATCTCTATGATATCTATGACCTCCCTGACAGGGGCTTTGAGGACCATGAGCCAGGCCCCAAGCGCCGGCGAGGTGGATGCTGCCCCCCAGACGGCCCCCATTTTGAATCGTATGACTATAGCCTGGCTCCACCCCGAGGGGTAGAGTGCAGACTGCTAGAGGAGGAGAATGCCATGCTCAGGAAGCGGGTAGAGGAGCTAAAGAAGCAGGTCAGCAACCTCCTGGCTACCAATGAGGTACTCCTGGAACAAAATGCCCAGTTCCGCAATCAGGCCAAGGTCATGACCCTGAGCTCCACTGCACCAGCAACTGAGCAGACTCTGGCCCCCACTGTGGGTACTGTTGCCACTTTTAACCATGGCATTGCCCAGACTCATACTACGCTCAGCAGCCAGGCTCTACAGCCTCGGCCTGTATCTCAGCAAGAACTGGTGGCCCCTGCTGGAGCTCCAGCTGCTCCCCCAACTAATGCTGCACCTCCTGCTGCACCTCCACCCCCACCCCCACACTTGAACCCAGAGATTACGCCACTGTCAGCTGCTCTGGCTCAAACAATTGCCCAGGGAATGGCACCCCCACCTGTCTCCATGGCTCCTGTGGCTGTATCTGTGGCCCCTGTGGCCCCTGTGGCCGTATCGATGGCCCAACCCTTGGCAGGAATCACAATGAGCCACACCACCACTCCCATGGTGACTTATCCCATCGCTTCCCAGAGCATGCGTATCACAGCCATGCCACACTGATGGGGCTCATGGACACTCCCCTGGTAGAGCCTCCCAGGGCTGGGATCCAGGGGCCCTTCCCCACCCACTCGCCTAGCCATCCCAGACCCTGTCTCAAGGGCTCATTCAAGAACTAGGACAAGAGACTACAAAGGAGTTTACTCCTGGGAAGGGGTTGGGCTGGTGGGTTTTCTCCCACCTCCCTTTTATGAGGGTTCTCTTGTCCATCTCAAGGCTCACAGAGGGGGTTTGCATAGGAGCGCAGGCGGAAGCCAGCAGAGAGGAAGGACTCACTGAGGGACTGCATGTCCCCTAATTGAAAGATGGCCCCATGCCTGGTCTTGTCCTCTCCTGCACAGCACAGGTTCCAGCACTGGCTTTGGAAGAAAAAAGGTACCCTGCCCAGAGGGAAAGCCAGGAAAAATTGGGAAGTGGGTGGCCAGATGAGAAGGCCTGATGGGAGCCTTCAGACAATTTGGGATGTAGTTGAGTTGGACAGTAACTGCTCCTGGGCCTGTGGGAGCGGGGACCATCGTACTCCAGCCCAGAGACTAGGGGAGCATTCATTACCTTGGCTTGGCCTGGAAATTCATAGGGCAGGGCCCACCATTTTCCAAAGAAATAAACAATTATTTTTAACAAATGGAGGCAGTGAAAACTTGCTTAGCTATCCTGTGTGGAAGATGGGAGTAGTAAATAGATGTTATGCCAAAACGGGATAAAGACCCCCATCCTCACAGAACTGGGATACAGTTGGATGGAGACCAGTGAAGAACGGTTGGAACCCAGAACAAGAGCAAATGAGACTTTGGGGAAGGCACCTTGTGGGGTAAAAGCACTGCAACCACCTAGTCCAGTTTAAAAATAGTCCCATCTGTCCTGGTTTCTATCTGCATATACTATTCCCAGGTTGCTTTAGTAACCAGGGCTCCTAGGGTCATTGAGGGGGGCAG